ACATAGATAAGCAGCATAGCTTGTAGTTTCCGTACTGCATATATACACCATTGAAAGGACATGTCATCGATGCATGTACAATGCTCAGTGCCATTTTTTTCATATTTAAGAATTGTTCGAAAGAATTAACCGTTGTGAATATGCATGTTTCAGGAAACACACATCTACAACTTATGATCCAAAAGTATTTTCTTTCATGCGTTGTGTATAACATGTTAATTTGTGAATCGTCGACCATGTTCACACAAGCGGATAGACAACAGCCCATGTTTACACTTTTAGTCTTACCAGGGGCATGTGTTCGATAAATCGGAATATATATTGAATATGACGAGGGCGCTAGTGGTGCATGGAACAGCACGTACACGTAATCATGACAGTAACATAAATCTACCTATTTTTGTCATATCTTTCAGATTGGTGGACAATTGCACAACAATACCAGGAAAACAGTGAATATCCATCGCGATTGGGGTTTCATTACTGTAAGAGGTAGCAGACCTACAGTGAACTTAACTGGACTCAAACTCATTGTTATATGGAATGGAGGAACACATAGAGTGAGGATAAATCTTGACAACACAGACATGCACGGACACGTGTGTGGCTTGATGGGAAATGCTGATGGAAATCCTGATAATGATTACATCAAACCAGATGGCTCTATTGTTTATGATGTCAATGAGTTTGGAAATAGTTGGGCTGTACCTGGAAGGTAATTAGCTGTTCATTCAAATAGTATACACCTAGTATTGAAAGGTACAAACTTCATTTAACATCGATGACCAAATATTTTATTTAAAATTTGTCGATCTGTTAACATGATATGGTAATCAGCCCCCAAAAGTCAATATCCACAAATTGAGTGCTACAGCAGATACAGCCGGCTTTTGAACAATATATGATCTGTACATATATCTGTTTTTACCCGAATATGATATATAGCATTGTATTCATTGTTATGCTAAATCGACTCTATTGCTAGTCGAAAATTAAACAGAGTAGGAGCCCCCACCCTGTAATGCCCTGGGGAGAACCCTGAATCTCTATATGTATAATATCATGAAATTGTGTTTACATATGGCTCTGTCTATATTTACAGCTGCCCATAGATGCAGAGTGGTGAGAGTGGAACTACATACCCCAGTACATCATTTGGTTTAATGGAACACAAGACCAAGTTTCATGATAAATGTGGGCTTAACATTGGCATGTTCATTTTAAATCTAATACTTATTCTGTCACTTCTTTTGTCTTGTTTCAATTACAAACGGTATTGCATACTATTGTCATGAACTAGTTTTCATGTATCTGTTGACCGACTTATTTAGTTGATTACTAGTGAATGGCTGTGTTATATCTGTCATCATTTAGACTCATGCGAGGTCCTGGACGGAACTTGACTCAGTGATTTGGAACTAATTACGATATAACCGTCGCCATCTGGACCGCTATTTCTGATGTTGAGTATTCGCAGTTAGTAATATAGTGAACGATTAATTAAAAGATATGACGTGTTCAGTACTTAGTGTGATTGGCTCTATGATTGAAGGCCACGCCTTAGAGTATTTTAACTTTTCTGTAATTGGTTAAGTTTTTGATACGTTATAAACAGTCTAAGTCCTAAGTCCACGAGGCGAGAGAGTCTTGGTCAGTGCTGGGCAGAGACCCTGATGAGGCAGTTTGCCTCAAGGCGTTCTCGATGTGGCTAATGACTAGCTATTGAAACGTATTTCGTTGTGTGCGTCTATTTGACTGTAAGGCTTACATGACTTTCCTGGTCTGGTACCTCAAGCAAACGAGATATAGAGACAGACGATATTCCCCCGACACGTGTTGGGGAAACCCCAGAAGAGAAGAATTCCCCGTGATAATATCGTTAAAGTGTCATTCAGGACTATGTTGTATGATCTGCAAAAAAAATTTCAATGATTACTGTAAGCATCATAAGGACTTTAGGTTTTGTACAGTTCATGACAATCTTATCCAACAAAATCGAATTTATAAGCATATCCTAAAAAAAAATTGGTCATTATTGGTTACAGCAGGGACAATTATTGTTGATTTGGTGATTAGACACCACGACCTTCAGTGCAGACAAGCTTCAGTGCACTAATATTTCAGGATTTCAGGATTAATCATATTTCACGGTGGTCACAATAATCCTAGGGGCTGTTTGACATATAATATAGTGGGAATGCAGCATTACTGTTGCTGATTTGATTGGAAGGACTCATCTGACATTGTATATCTGAAAATATGTTTTGCGCTCACTGAACAGTAGCTTGACCTCAGTATTTGCAAGAGAGACTTGATTCTTTCATTGAAAATTCTCTCTGCGGTTATACAAAAAGCATTCTAAAAATCTTAAATTTTAAGGTGTAAGCTCTGAAATGTAAAAAGTAAAAAACTGCTATCATCAGAGGGTTCTTCGAACCCACGTATTCCGGTCAGTCAAAATTACTATTTTGAGCTATAGGAATTAATCAGCGATTCTGCCAATGACGGAGAGATAGAATCTAGGTCAGGGGAAGCCCCATGACCCCAAGATTCTTTTCCCTTACGTCACGAATCACGTGACCAAGGCCATATGGCGGCGCCATTACGGCAGGCTATTCACTCTGGTTCCTTTCTCTCCGCATCAAGGACTTAGACCAACGCTACGGAAAGAGTGGGGTGGTTGGGGGACCCTAAGTCTATGGTGGATATGTGAATAGGCGGGTTCAGAGAACATTCTGCCTAAATTCACTACGTTTAATTACCCACCATAGACTCCAGTCAGTCAAAATGACTATTTTGAACTGTAGACATAAGCCAATAGATGGCGGGTTTTCCGAGCAAAGAGAAAATGATGAAAGTCTCTTCCCAGTCCGGGATGATACACTCTACACCACTCATCACATAGCTAAGACCCCCAAAAGAGGGTGGTGTCTTACCTCGCCTGTGCTGTCCCTAGAGCAAAAAGCCAAAAATGATGCTACAGTGACAGGGTTTGGTATGCCCGAGAAAGCTAGACCCAAAACCCAAATTAGGGGGTAGTATGCTTTCAAAGTAAAGATCGAAACAGTTCGAAACATAGGCCAAAAAACACATGCTGAGACAGACTTATCGCCTATGCCCAGGGACACTTGTGGTCGTTCAGGCTGGGTCAGCAGCTAGAGTCTGACGCGCGACCCAGCCTGAAAGAGGCTCTCCTCAATGGATTGTGTGTCTCTTAGATAGCAGTTGATAAAGACGTTTGTGTTCTCCAGAATCCTGCCCTCAGAAAATGATTGAGGGGGTGTCTGACGCTAGCACTAGTGAGTTAGAAATCGCACGGACCTCATACACTCGTACTTCTGTGTTGAGGAAGTTAAAGTATTATAGACCTCTAATACAGTCGCAGTAATCCACCTGGTGATGGAAGTCGGCCTATCCTTCATGCCTGGATCGTAACACAAAAACATGTGCTTGGCACGTCGTCTCGAATCTCCTGTGCGGTTTTCGTACCAACTCAGTGCTCGAACCGAGCAGAGAAGCAATTCTTCCTGACCCGGGCCGACAAAATTTGACGATCAGTGAGGATTGTGTCCTGGGATTTGGTACTTGGCGAGAAACCCCATTCCTGTCTTTAGCACAACTTGATTGTCCATAAAGGCAGTACATCGTCCGGGAAAGACAATGGCCCCAGTTCTGACAGACACCTACCTGAAGCGAGGGCCAGCAGGAAGACTATTTTCCATGTCAAAATTTTGAGTGGTGCTGATCGGAGAGGCTCAAAGGGCAGTCTGCTTAGAGTGGACAACACAACTGAGAAATCCCAGTTGGACAGTTCCCTTGTACAGGGTATCGACCTCTGATATGGAAAGCCTGTTCCTAAAGTTTTCTCAATGGTGGGGGACAAGGCCGACCTGTAGCCAACAATCGCTGCACAGGACAAACCCACTTTGTCAAACAGGTGTACAAGGTGCCAATAAAGGGATGGTATGGATCAATCTCCCTTCCGCTAAACAAATCCGTGTATGCTTACCACATAGAATTGTAGGCAACGTTGGTGGAATCCCTGTTCATCCTGGCCAGGACATTGGCAGTCCGCTCAAATAAACCTTTTGTATGTGCGGGACTACTGATAGCCTCTATGCGTTTAAGTGATACCCGCTGGGCCCGTTGGTAGTGCACCGTCCGGTTGGGACAGCAGGTCCGGTAAGTCCGGAAGCACTACTGGTGTTTCGACTAGCATTTCCAACAGAAGTGGAAACTAGGCCTTGATTGGCCATTTGGGTGCAACCAATGACAATATGAAGATGTTCACCTGTCAAAGTTTTCTCTGGTGCCCGGTGAACTAGCGGGAAAGGAGGAAAGGCGTACACAACTATGTGGATCTATGGGTCAGCAAAGCGACCCTGGCCAAGGCTCCTGGAGTCGGCAGGAGTGTTATGTACGTCGGGAGCTTGGCGTTCCCGAGTGCGGCAAACAGGTCTATCTTTGAACCGTCCACAGCCGAAACAGCCTGGAGGCTACCCACTGGGGTATCAGCCACTCTGTGTTCTAGAGACGGAGCCGCCCTTGAAGGGCGTCTGCCAGACTGTTCCTCAACACCTGGAAGGTGGTGTGCGGTTAGCTCCACATTGTATTCCAAGCACCAAAGGAGAATTTGCTCAGCTAGAACTGACAATGATGGGGAACGCATCCCCCCCTTGTTGCAGGGGACCACCGATGTGTTGCCTGTGCAGAGCAGGTCTCTGTGGTCTCGAACTACAGGTAGAAAATGTGGTAGTGCTAAGTGCACTGCTTTCAGTTCAAGCCGGTTAATATGGCGGTCCCTAAACTAATGCGGGGGCCATATACCTTGGGCTTGTTCGTCCAATAGATGCGCTCCCCAACCTTGGATGGAGGCATCTGTTACCAGAGTCATAGCTGTGGCGAGTGGGTCCAAGGGGACCCCCTGTCCAAGGTTGGCCAATGACGACCACAAGGGCAGGACTTCCTTTGCTTGGTCAGAGATCAATACCCGCATATCTAGTTCCCGTAGGAGAGCTTGATGTTGTAGCAATAAGCCTTGTACTGGACCGGCTGCGTAATGCGGCCTGGGGAACTATCCTTTGAACCGAGGTAATCATTACGATGATCCGCATTAGTTCTCAGAGGGACACTGAGGGAACGCTGACTAGGCATTGGGCTACGCCTGCTTAGCGCCAAGCAACACACTTGAAATAGCTATACCAAGCCTACATCTGTGTCAAACTCCATGCCCAGGAACACCAACTGTTGCGGGCAGGAATGGGATGGTCTGCTTTACTAAAGAGCCTAACTGGTGAAGTAAATCCTGTGTTAGCTGTACTAGCTCGGCTAATAACCCCTTGTCAGAGTTATGTAATAACCAGTCGTCCAAGTACGGATTGATGTGTACCGACATTTGGTGAAGCAGCAGCACCACCTGTTCCATCTATTTCGGTTGAACATAGGGGCTGTGCATAACCCGAAGTAGGTTCGCCTTAAGTCTAGTTGGGCTAGCCAGTCGAAACGATGGATAGAGAGAAGAACACTGAATGGCATCTCCATGCGGAACCATGGTCCAGCGAAAAGTGTTGCATAAGATTTACACCACCCGGAGGCCTTAAGCGTTACCTCCTCCCGGCTGACCAACGTCCACCCATAAACACCGTCTGCGCACCCTGCGCCCTACTCAGCCAGATAGGGGGATATGTGCCGACCGGGTTGCTTTGGATCCAGACACCATAAGCGTTGAAGGAACAGTAAGTGGTTGCCTTAGGATCAAGGGTGGGGGTATATACATCGTATCAC